ATATTCATCTGGCCTAAGGTCAAAAACCTCGTCATAGTGGACAGACATAAATACATAAAGTCAAATATCAACATGTATGTACAAAGCTGGAACAGATCATTTGGTTTGCTTAAAAAGGACCAGAATTATTACAATCAATGCTAAAAAAAAAATTGTTGGCAGTTTTTTATAGCAGTGAAAACAGTCTTGAAACTAGTGATAATTAATTAGTTGATTTTACTGAAAAAAAAATCAGGTAAATGTGAACAATTCAACTGATATATAAACTAACACAATTAGAAAAATGCAATAGTTCAGCTTTACTATAGCATGATTTTGCACCTCGTCTTCTCCTCCTTTTTAACCAGCACAGTACTTGTATTTTTCTGTCGATAATGAATCACTTGTTTCAGCAATGCAGCATCATAAAACCTGTGTGACTAACAATGACCTCAGGCTGTAAGCATCACTCCCATCCCACCTGTGGACTGAGTCACATCAGTTATCAAACAGCAACATGGACATGAATTTATTATTAGAATGCAACACGGGCAGCATGGTGTTGGAAATTAACTGATGAGGGACTTGGGACATTTGTAAATAATAATTTCTCACATTCTGAGAGAGTCTGCTGAGAAAGAGCACTAATTTAATGAATCAAACACGTCCTGTTCCACTGATCCAGAGTCAGGTCACAGTGGCAGCAGGCTGAGCGAGGCAGTCCAGGAGTTCCTGAGGGGTCCTGAGGTGTTGCCAGGTCAGATGAGATATGAATCCCCTCAAGTGAGTTCTAGAAATATCCATCCATTATCTATACACCGCTTAATCCTCATTAGGGTCGCGGGGGAGCTGGAGTCTATCCCAGCCGATTTAGGGCGAAGGCAGGGGACACCCTGGACAGGTCACCAGTCTTCTAGAAATATAAGATAAGATAATCCTTTATAAGGCTCACAGTGGGTAAAGTTACAATATTATAGCAGTGGAGAGGACAGAAGTGAAACAAATAAACAAGATATAATAGAAAACAACAGGCAAAGCACCTTATTATACTCAGGGGTTAGTTAACATGCTTCACAGGCAAAGTTAGAATACAAAATCAAACATGTAAAAGATCCATCCATCCATCCATCCATCCATCCATCCAT